GGCGCCCCCGAGGGCGCGGCCGCCGCCCGCGGTCCACCGGCTGTCTTGCGCAGGCGCAATGCCCGCCTCGTCTCGGCGGACGCCCCCAAGGCCCAAATTTTCCTTGTCTGGGGCGACAGGAACAATGAGCGGCCCGAGAAGGGTAGGATGGACGCCACCGACACGCACCTGACAGGCCTCTTCTTCGCTTTGTCGGTCTCGCGGTCAACCTTGGTTACCCCGGGAGTGGTCCGCCGGGCTGAAGAAGGCCGAGGCTAGGCGGCGCCACTGCGCCTGCGCCCGTACGGCGGCCGGAAGGGGCCAGAGGCTACACCGCCGGTGACAGCCGCGAGCCCCACCCTGGACCCACGTGGCCGCGAAGACCGGGTGAGAAGCGGCGGCCGCCGAGCTCCGTCGCGCGTGGAGTGGGGAGTGGGCACCGCGGTATAGGGCTGGTGATCGGCGCGACTTGTAGGACTTGATTTTGGGGAACGAAAGCATTTTACGGCAACCGCTAGGGGACAAAATCCGTCGCTCGCGAAGCCTTCGCTTTCTTTTCATTGATTTTATTCGTGCAGTTTGCATCCAGGTGCCGAGTCCTTGCTGAGTGTCAGGCGCGGTCCTAGGTCACGAGGGCAAGGAGGTTAGGTGGTGCAAGCCAAGTGAATGAATGAAGTCGCTCTAGAAACACATAATCGGTGGGATGAGCCAGGAGGGCGGAGGCTGTTTTAAGCAGAGTGGTTTTGAAAGGCGTCCCGTGCGTAGCCGGGAAGGATCAGAAAGAGGCGGGGAATAACAACGGGGAACGTCTACACCTAGGCAGTGCTGGTAAGCAAACTGGTTTGTGTTCTGATCCTGTTGGGGAGCCACTGCAGGGTTCCAAGCAGGTGAATGAGGTCTCTGTGTGCTTTCAAGGCTCCCTCCGGCTGTTGTATTGAGAATAGTGTCGGCTGTTGTATTGAGAATAGTGTCGTAGGGTGTGGCATCGGGTAGATTAGGTGGCCCGTCTTGGGCGAGAATGGTGCCTGAACCAGAATAGAAGTTATTTATTTATTTGACTTTATTTCCTATTATTGTTATCTTAAGTTTGCCATAGGACACATGTGTTCACCCAAGAGAGACAGAGAGAAAGAGAGAGAATGAGAAAGCAAGCCACCTGGTCCAGGACTCAAACCGCAGTCGTCCTGTGGGAGCCCAGCACCTTAACCACCACACCACCTGCTGGTTTCACTTTTTCTTTAAAAAAAAAAAAAAAAGTTTGGTCATTTGTTTTATTTATTTATTAAATTTTTTTCAAATTAAATAACAAACATGTTTTGAATTTCTCATTACTTTTTAAAATGTGAACATTCTGTAATTCAACCATACTTTTTAGTTCCAGAGCACTTCTTCATCGGGCCGCAATTCCCTTTTAAATAATACACTCTTGTTCCTGAAGGCAGTTAGCTTTTTTTTTTTTTTGGAGAGGTTTTTGCTATAGGGTGCATGCACTCTGCAGAAAGACAGAGAGAGACAGAGAGCGAGACATCACCCCCGAGGGGGAATGGCCACGCCGCAGTTCCTTCTCCTCCATTCTCCTCTCGGGATCTTGGGCACGCACGCACACGCGCCCAGCGTGAGTTTAAGCCACCGGGTCCAGAACTCGAACCGCGATCGACTACATGGGAGTCCAGCAACATAGCCATTACGCCAGCTGTTGGTCCCTTTTTTAAAATTATTCCTTTAATTTCATTTGTTGTTATTATTATTATTATTTTAAATTTTACTAGAGAGAGAGAGAGAGAAGAGGAATGTAGTTTTGGAAGTAGCCCAGTCTTGGACTCGAACTGCTGCTGGCTATGTGAGAGTTCGGTGCCTAAACCACCCTTCCTCCTGCCGGCCCTGACTTCTTTTTTTTTTTTTTAGTTTTTGGTATAGGGCACTTGTACTCATCAGAGACAATCGAAAGGAAACGGACAATGAGAAATCATCTCATCCCCCTGGGGGGATGACCATACTGCAATCCCTTGTCCTCCATTCTCCTGTGGGAATTTTGGTCACGTACACACATGCGCCGAGTATGACTTTCTTTTTATTTATTTATTTATTGAAATGATTTTATTTAACTTTATTTATTCATTCATTCATTTATTTCAATTTGACCAGAGAGGGGGAGAGAGCGAGAGAGAGAGAGAGAGGGAGCAATCAAGCTGCCAGGTCCAGGACTTGAACCATAGTCCCCCACGTGGGAATCCAGCACCCTTAACCCCCAAGCCACCTGCCAGCCCCGAACGTGAATTTCAAACTACTGGGTCTGGGATTCAAACCACGTGGCTGACCGTGAGAGATCCAGCACTTTAACCTCCATGCCATCTGCAGGCCTAGTTTACTGTATTTTATTTAAGGAAGACAGATTATTTATTTTATTTATTTACTTTAATTTGACCGGAGAGGGACAGAGAGAGAGTGAGAGAATGCAAGCCGCCAGGTCCAGGACTTGAACTGCAGTTGGCCACGTGGGAGTCCAGTGGCCATTCACCCTGGGGGGTGATTTCTCGCTGTCTGTCTCTCTTGTCTCTCTCTGTCTGTCTGGCGAGCGCACGCACCCTATAGCAAAAACCTCCCCCCCCAAAAAAAAAACAACACGTAAAAGTAAACCGCGTGCTCTCTTCTGCTCTCCCAGACCCACCAAAGACATAGCGCTCTCCCTCTTTCCTGGGATCCAGGTGGTAGAGGTTTCCTACGATGGTTGCTGGGCTCTGGACTCCATGAACGCTCCCTCCCTACATGGTTTTATTTAATTTTTGGGGGGAGAGGTTTTTGCTATAGGGCGCGTGCACTCGCCAGAAAGACAGAGACAGAGACAGAAAGCGAGAAATCACCCCCCTGGAGGGATGGCCACGCCGCAATCCCTTCTCCTCCATTCTCTTCTCGAGATCTTGGGCACGCATGCACACGCGCCCGGCGTGAGTTTAAGCCACCGGGTCCGGGACGTGAACCGCAGTCGACTACATGGGAGTCCAGCGACATAGCCATTACGCTAACTGCTGGTTCCCGCTCCCTATGTGTTTTTATGGTGGCCAGGCCCTCATTGCCCTCTCACCCTCAATGACGCTCTCCTCTGCTCTTGACTTCTCAGCTCGGGACCACCTTTTCGCCCCTAGCCCACATCTACGCAGCTGAAGATGGCCTCCAAGCGCATCACCCAGGAGACCTTCGACACCGCCGTGCGGGAGAACATCCAGGAGTTCGAGATGGGGCCGGAGGAGGCACTGAACGAGGCGATAGAGCAGTTTGAATCCCAAGGTGCCGCAGCATGAAAGACGGTCACACACCCACCGTGGCTCTTTTTTTTTAAAAAAAAGTATTATTTTGGGAACCAGCAGTTGGCGTAATGGCTATGTCGCTGGACTCCCACGTATTCAACCGTGGTTCGCGTCCCGGACCCAGTGGCTTAAAACTCACACCGGGCGCGTGTGCGTGCGTGCCCAAGATCCCGAGAGGAGAATGGAGGAGAAGGGATTGCAGCATGGCCATCCCTCCTGGGGGGTGATTTCTCGCTTTCTGTCTCTCTGTCTCTCTCTGTCTGTCTGGTGAGCGCACGCGCCCTATAACAAAAACCTCTCCAAAAAAAAAAAATATTTTTTTTTAAAATTTCATTTATCATTATTATTTTGAACTTTATTCACTTACTTACTTAAATTTGACCAGAGAGAGAGAGAAAGCAAGCTGCCAGGTCTGGGACTCGAACCACAGTTAGCCGTATGGAAATCCAGCGCCCTTAATCACCACGCCACCTCTCTGGCCCCAGTTTATTTATCATTTTTAATTTTACCGAGGGGTGGATTAGAAAGCAAGCCAAAAGTTCCGGGACTTGAACTGCAGTTGGCCATGTGCAAGTCCAGCACCCTAGCCCCCACGCCAACTGCCAACCCCCGACTCTCCTCTCTTAGCCGCCCCCCAGGGAGCACGTGCCACCTCACTGCACAGAGACAGCAGCAGGCGGTCACACGGCATGCGCTAGCAATGGCCTCACTTGCCTTTCACTCCTGTTCCCTGGCCCGGGCCAAGGGGCAGGCCTCTCTCCATCCCCTGTCCCAGGGATACAGCTGCTGGGCCCAACATGGGCAGGAGGCGGGTGACGTGGAGGACCGGGCAAGCCCCCAGGAGGCTGCCGGAGTGGGGCAGCCCCAGCAGAAGGAACACAAGGTGCGCCTCCAGTGTCACTCATTTTCTGACGCCTCCTCTGCCCTCCTCCCACAGGGGTTGATCTGAGCAACATCGTCAAGATGGCGCCTACGGTCTCTGCACACGGACCCCAGGAGCCCACACACGACATCCTGCAGGTAGGAGCAGAGCCCACGCTGCAAGTCACATGTCACTCTAGTTTTTTTTTAAGATAGGATCTCGCCGTGTCTCAGGGCTCCTGCCTCAGCCTCCCAGCTGGGACCACAAGCCTCTGCCCCCACACCTGGGTCTTCGGTTTGGTTTGGTGTTTAGATTTTTTTTTTTGAAGAGAGATTTTTACTGTAAGGCATGCACGCTCGTTGGAGAGACAGAGAAATACAGAAAGTGAGAATGCACCCCCCGGGGGGATGCCCACGCCGCAATCCCTTCTCTTCCATTCTCTTCTTGGGATCTTGGGCACGCACGCACATGCACCCGGCGTGAGTTTAAGCCACCGGGTCTGGGACAAGAACTGCCGTTGACTAAACGAGAGTCCAGCGACATAGCCATGACGCCAACTGCTGGTCCCAAGTACACACGTTCTACAGCAAAAATTTAAAAACAAGGGACCCCCCAGGTGACGTAGTGGTTAAGGCTCTGGACTCCCACCTTGCTGACCACAGTTTGAGTCCTGAACCTGGCAGCTTAAAACTCACGAGGTGAGGGGAAGCAGTGGCAGGTAGCATGGTAACTAAGGGTGCTGGCAGCGGTTCGAGTCCCAGACCTGGCAGCTTGCCAGGGGGTTTTTTTTTTTTTTTTTGAGAGGTTTTCGCTATAGGGCGTGTGCTCGTCAGACAGACAGAGGGAGACATAGAGACAGAAAGCGAGAAATCACCCCCCCGGGGGGATGGTCGCAATCCCTTCTCCTCCATCCTCCTCTCGGGATCTTGGACACGCACGCACATGCACCGGGCATGAGTTTAAGCCACCGGGTCCGGGACTCGAACCGTGGTCGACTACGTGGGAGTCCAGCGACATAGCCATTACGCTAACTGCTGGTCCCACGCCTGGTGTGTTTTTCAAGCTGCTGAGTCTGGGACTCAAACCACACGGTTGACCATGTGCCATCCAGCCACCTTCACCACCAGGGAACCATCTGACCTGCCAGATCTCTTTTATATATAAGAAATGTTAAAATAGGGGACCAGCAGGAGGCATGGTGGTTAAGGCACTGGACTCCCACATAGCCGACCGTGGTTCAAGTCCTGGACCAAAAAAGAAATGTGAAAATGAGGGGCCAGCAGGTGGCATAGTGGTTAAGGTGCTCGACTCCAGTGTGGTCAACTGTAGTTCAAGTCCCAGACCTGGCAGCTTGAAACTCATACCAGGCATTGTACATGTGTCCAAAATCCCAAGAAGAAAATGGAAGAGGAGGGATTACAGCGTGGCCATCCCTCCTAAGGGGTGAGTCATTACTTTCTTTTTTTTTAAAATTATTTATTTAATTTTATTCATTCATTTATTTAAATTTGACCAGAGAGAGACACACAGAGAGAGAGAGTTGAAGTGAGAAAGCAAGCTGCCAGGTCTGGGACTCGAACCATGGTCAGCCATGTGGGAGTGTCCAGCACCTTAACCACCACGCCACCTGCTGGTACCCAGAGTCGTTACTTTCTTTCTCTCTTGTATCTTCAGCAAGCTCATATGCCCAATAGCAAAAATCTCTCTTAAAAAAAAAAAAGGAAAGAAATTGTAACATAAGGGACCAGCAGTTAGCATAATGGCTATGTTGCTGAACTCCCATGTATTCGAACACGATTCAAGTCCCGGACCCGGTGGCTTAAACTCATGCTGGGCGTGTGTGCGTGCGTGCCCAAGATCCCGAGAGGAGAATGGAGGAGAAGGGATTGCGGCGTGGCCATCCCTCCTGGGGGGTGATCTCTTGCTTTCTGTCTCTCTGTCTCTGTCTTTCTGGTGAGCGCATGCGCCCTATAGCAAAAACCTCTCCAAAAAACATTGTAAAATAAACGGCATTAGTCAGAAGCTGGCAGATGACGTGGAGGAAGCCAAACCCCATCATAACTTTGATTTGAATTCCATCCCCTGCGGCTTATAAAAACACACCAGGCATGGATCCATGCACGCCCCAACTCCCAACCGGATGGAGAAATGGAGCAGAGGGGACCACACCCCACTTCCTCCCCCGCTCCCTCTCTCTCCAACTCTCTGCTGAGTGTATGTGTCCTCGGGCAATTAAGAAAAAAAAAAAGACAGAAAAAGGAAAAAACCTCATCAAAGCACTCAGGGTCGTGGCGTTTGAATGGGAACCTTTGAAGTCATTTGAAAAGCTTCTGCCAAGAGCGTGTCCGAAGATGTACCGTGCCGGAGCTAGGGTTTCCTGTGTTCACAGGATGGTTGTGACAGAGGTGATGGAGCCCGTGGTTCTAGCTGGGACAATTTGTTTGTTCTTTTTTGAAGAATTATTTTATGGGACCAGCAGTTAGCAAAATGGCTATGTCACTGGACTCCCGTGTAGTCAACTGAGGTTCGAGTCCCGGACCAGGCGGCTTAAACTCACGCCAGGCGCGCGTGTATATGAGTGCCCAAGATCCCGAGAGGAGAATGGAGGAGAAGGGATTGCGGCGTGGCCATCCCCCCTGGGGGGTGATTTCTCGCTTTCTGTCTCTCTGTTTCTCTCTGTCTTTCTGGGGAATGTTCACGCCCTATAGCAAAAACCTCTCAAAAAAAATAATAATAATAATCATTTATTTACCTTCATTTATTTACTTGTATTTTAATTTGATCAGAAACGGAGGAAGTGAGAGAGAGTAAGGAGAGGTAAAGTGAGAAAGCAAGCCACCAGGTCTGAGACTCGAACCGTGCTTGGCCATAGGGGAGTCATAGTGGAGGTTTTGCCTACAGACATTCTGGGATCATTCGCACTGTGACTAATTCCTTTTTTTTTTTTTTTAATAAAAAAAAAAGCTTTTCCTTTGTGTACTCATTGGGGGCATGTGTGTGTGTGAGAGAAAGCACCCCCCTGCAACAGAGGTTGGCCACACCACAACTCCCTTCTCCTCCCTTCTCTCGGGATTTTGGAAAAGCACATGTACCCCTGGTGGTTTTTTTTTTAAGCCACCGGATCAAGGACTTGAATTGTAGTTGATCACATGTGAGTCCAGTACTTTAACCACCATGCCACCTACTGGGCTGTAGCCCAATTTACTTTTTTTCTTTTTTATTTATTTTTTTTTTATTT